TTTTTTTAAAAGATACCTGAAATTTTAAAATTCAGTGAAAGGGTTTAAATCTCCCAGATAGGACAAAAGACAGTTTTTTGGAGATCAAATTTCTCAGCATCAACATTGGAAGCCAAGCAATAAAGGAACACCTCCAAACTTTTAAGGAAAAATGATTTCCAATACAGAAATCTCTCAACAGCCCAACAGTCAAGTGTGAGGGTAAAAACGAAAGCCCTCAAAATATCTCATGCACTCTTTCACAGTAATAGTAGAGAAACCAAAAAGAAGGAATAAACTAAAAGGAAGGCATGGGATCCAGGAAAAAAGGGACTCAACAAAAGTGAAAAACATTCCCAGAATGTCCCAAGATAACAGCTTTGCAGCAGGCCTAAACAGAAAACAATCCAGAATAAAGCAGGAAGGACAGCTACAGAGGGGATGACTACAGGAATAAGTGGAAGTGGTAAGTTTATGTGACAGATTTGACCATGTGGAAAATTGTACTGAGAAGCATTTTACCGAGCTGCTGGAGGATACAGAAAGACAAAACTAAGCAAATGAAAAAACAAGGCATGAAAAGCAAAAGGTTACACGGGAAAACTAAATCATAGTAAACTACTATCTCAGCACTGACAAATATTTCGTTGGAATGATGAAAACTCTCAACATGAATTTAACCTGAAATTGCAGAATAACAGTATTAGAAAGATGGAGGAAAAGCCTAGTTTGAAAAATCTTTTAACATCTATCCCTTTAAAATCATTGATAATTACATACCTCAAATTATTCAATTCTAAGGAAAGCCTCTATTTTCATTAAATTCTGTAACTACACTTTCAAGGCAAAAATTTAGTGAAATGCACTGGTTTTGTCTTGGGCTACTTCACAGGGTCATTTTAAGGAAATAAGGTAATAAATGCAAAGCAAAAATTCTAACAAAAATTAGAAGATCTATACAAGTTTTACTGGTTACTGGAATCAGTTAAGGCAGCTTATTATCTAATAATATGTTTGTTCTATTGTTTGCTATAATTCTTTTTTTTAATATTTATGTATATATTTATATTTATTTTGGCTATGCCTGGTCTCAGTTGTGGCACACGGGGTCTTCGTTGCAGCATGTGGCATCCTCAGTTGATCTTTACTGCAGCATACAGGATCTTCTAGTTGCAGCATGTGGACTTCTTAGTTGCAGCATGCATGTGGGACCTAGTTCCCCAACCAGGGATCGAACCTGGGCCCCCTGAACTGGGAACACGGAGTCTTACCCACTGGACCGCCACACAAGTCCCTGTTTGTTGTAATTCTAAATGTTGGACACCTTCAGCACATGTTCACTTTTACCTTCCACATTTACCAGTTAATAATTTATTCAGTCTTACAGGAAAATGGGCTGCGAACTCTTTAGTAGTTTACCTCTTTATACACCAAAACTTTTATCTCATAGTTTTAAAAATCTAGGACTTCCCCGGTGGCTCACTCGTTGGGAGTCCGCCTGCCAATGCAGGGGACACGGGTTCGAGCCCTGGTCTGGGAGGATCCCACATGCCGTGGAGCAACTGAGCCCGTGCACCACAGCTGCTGAGCCTGTGCTCTAGAGCCCATGAGCCACAAGGGCTTAAGCCCAGGCGCCTGGAGCCTGTGCTCTGCAACAAGAGAGGCCACCATAATAAGAGGCCTGCGCACAGCAGCAAGGAGTAGCCCCCGCTGGCGCAACTGGAGAGAGCCCGTGGGCAACAATGAAGACCCAACGCAGACAAAAATAATTTTAAAAATAAAATAAAAAATAAAACTAATTTTAAAAAATCTAAAATGTTTTGCACTTTTCTTTTTATAAGAAGTAAATTTAACATTTACTTGATGACTCGGGCTGTCATGCAAGTCAGCTACAGTACTATGACTAGATGGCCTCAGAGGTTTTAGGTCTGTAAGGCATCAACCCTTATGCTAAATGGACCTAGACTGGTATGCTTTTATAACCTTCCTGTTCATCACTCTTAACTTTCAGATCTACTGTCAACGATCCTTCCTCTATCTGGATCAACCCATCTTTCATTTACTATGAGGTTAAAAAAAAATCATCATGCTTCTGACTCAACATTTACTAAATGCCCTGCCTTTCATACACACACTTTCATTTAATCCAAATAACTTCTGTTAGAATGGTAGTCAATGTAAAAATGTAGCAGTTCTGACTAAAGACTTTTAAAAAAAACTACTACAAATAAATACAGGAGTTTAACTGCTTAATGGAGTTTGGGGGCTGCATCTTTTGGATGGTTTTGGGGGTTTTGTTTGTTTTTTGAGAGAAGGATTTATTTTCCTTGCTTTGGTGTCTTTATAACTAATTTCCAGTTCTGATCAAGATTGGTCAATCAATGATCTATGGGATAATTGTGGGAGTCACTGAACTATCCTATGTGCTATCCTATCAGCTATCCAACTTAAAGCAATACCAAAAAGAGATATATACTTAAAACTACAAAAAAAAAAAAAAAAAAAAAAAAAAAAAACTACAGACACGTGGTCATCCATTCACTAAGACTTTCACAAAAAACGCAGAAAAATGAGAAATGTATTGCAAATTAGGACTTTTATATTTGCAATTATATCTATATTAAATGCATGTATATAATTTTGTTATTTTAATATTTCTGTTTTTTAAAAATTTTCCTAGTTGAATAAAACAGAACCTCAATTCAGTTAAATCTGAACTTCAGAAGGATATGAGTACTTCCCAAATTAAGAGGTAAAGATTTTCACCATTAAATGTATCACCAAGACACTGAAAAGCAATCCTTCTCATTGATTTTTAGTTATTCCTCTATAAAATAGCAGCATTTCCATTAAAAAAAAGAAAGAAAGAAAAGGAAATCTTACCATAGTGTTACTATCTAGTCACTACTCAAAAAACCTACATAAATCATGGAATAAAAGCTATCATTGCTTATATTCAGGCTTAATAATGTAAGCTGTAGCCTTCAAAAGGAGGATTCTAAATGTAATTTAAAAGACTAGAAAACTTTCTCTTTAACAGCCATTTCACTTTAAAAGCAATTTATGTGCTCCAGAGAATTGTTAAAGAATGCTTACTTATTTATTTTCAGCCATTCCAATACATCAACAATGTTATACCCATATTCACGTTCTCATTCAAAGACCTTAGAAGAGCAAATACACTGTTTACACATCACAAATAAGACTGATATTGAGCTGCAAATGCTGACTTCCAGGCACTTTCAAATTTTAAATGTAATTATTAAAACAAAATTGCTTTAAAATACTAACCACCTAAAATCCCAGCCTAGAAGTCGTATAAATTCCATCCTCAAAACCACTTTCCTGGAAACAACACTCTCAAAAGCTGAGGGATCCTTTACCTTGTGCCAGAGTACCTGATGCCTATGCTTAGATGTCAAAGCTTTGCTACAGGCAAAATATCAAAAAAGTAACACTGTTGCTACATACTCGTGCACAACATTTTTAAAAATTGCGAAAATATACCTTTCTAATTCAAACAGAGAATTTTTCATGATCTAAGCTACCATTAGATCAGCAATGCTAAAACTGCTTGACCTTTCATTTTTCCTAAAACAAACAAAAATACTTTCACAATACTGTGTATCAATGTACATTTATAATAAAGATCACTACGTGCTTTAAGCTTTTGATCACATAAAGATCTAATTTTCAACCAGTCTCCACGTTGTACCACTGTCAAAACTGTGTATCAAACATCTAAATAGGTAGGACCATCTATTTTATAGAAATACTTCCTGAAAATCGTATGACTAGCCTGCTTTTTAAAAGAAAACCGCGCAGTCGTGTCTGAAAAGAACACTTAAGAATTTGCCTTTCTCTGATGCTAAAACATTTTGCAGCAAGTACTTGGTCTGGCCAAAAAACGTCAATGCTCCTGATTTTATCATTTGCTGCAGGAAAAAAAGAATATGGCTGAAAATTCTTTCTGAAGGGTGGTATTTCAAACAGGACCACTCACAACACTTAAGAATACGGAGCGGAGAGGAGGGTGGAGGGAGGATACCTTATGAAACAGCACACTCCGGGCCCTGCACACTACCTCATTTCCCTAATAGGGATGAAAAGCTCAGGCCTCTGGTAGCTTCCAGCTGACGCCAATGCTCTCCACACCCCTTTTTTTGACAGGATTTTCTGGCGTTAGAGCCTGTGTCACAAATACAAATTCCGTGATCACGTCTAAACGGTCTAATAATCAAGCATCTTCTACAGGACCAAACCCTTCGCGATCCCATTCCCTCCCATCTCCCTCCGTAGCGAAACACACCTAGGCGGGTCCTCTACATCTAATTCTACCAATCCTGCCGCGCATTATCGAGGCAGAAACGATACAGAAAATAGATTTCAGCCATCCCCCTCGGTGCTACCGAAATTACAGGCTCCATTTCCTGTCCCCATGGGGACCGCAAAATCTCCGAGGGAGAACCGGACGCCTCCCGCCCCCTCCAGGCTGGCGCAAGCGGCCCCCGCGCTCCCCCTGCCTGGGCCCCGCGGGCGCGAGCGGGTGGCGAGGACCTGGGGCGCCCTCCCTTCCCCCCACCCGGCGCCGGCACCCACCTCTCGGCAGCGGCTTCATCTCCCCGTTCTCCTCGCGGGCTGCCCCGCCGGCCTCGCCTGCCCCGCCGAGGCCGTGCCTCCGCCTTTCCTTCTCTCGCTTCTCCTTGGGTCTGCGCGGCTTGGCGTTGGCTGAGGAGGCGGCGGCCGGCAGCAGGAGATGGTGAGGCTGAGCGTGCAGCAGCGTAGGAGGGACCAGCAGTTTGCGCGGCACCGGCTGGGACGAGGAAGCAGAGGCTGAGGAGGGGACGGCCGTGCCAGCGGAGAAAGAGAAATTGCTCCGAGCAGAGGACGAGGAGGGGGCAGCAGACAGAGCGGCGAAGCTCCAAGACCCAGGGCTGCCATAGCTCTGAGGCGAAGGTGCCGCGGAAGACTGCAGCTGCCTGCTGTTGCCGCCGCTGCCTCCTTCTCCGTTCAGTCTCCGCGGCGTCTTCTTCTCCTCAGTCCGGATCTTCTTGGAAGACAGAGGACCTGGCGGGTCCCGGGAGGGGGGCTGCAGCTTGGAAAACGGTTCTTTCTCCGAGACGGCGGCGGGGGCGCAGTGCACTAGGCTCGGCGGTTCCGCCATTTTGCGCTCCTGTTGTATTTACTCTCCTCCGCTCCCAGGAGCGGGGCAGGGGCGGGCTCTCCTCAGGGGGCAGGGAAGGGGCGGAGCGGCCGGGCCCTCCATTGGGCGAGCCACGCTGAGAGATATCTTAAGAACCAATCAAAAGCGCGAGTCTGGAGCCGAAGTTGTGGGGGGAATCGCCAAGCGTACCAGTTTTGGAGGTCACAGGGCCGCGGGGCGCGGCTAATGGCGGAGCAAGCTGTGAGGGGAGGGTCGTCCAGTTGTCGTCAGCGTGAACGCGGGTGCCCAGTGAGTGTCTGAGAGAACCCCAACTCCAGACCCCAAAGTCTGCCCCGGCCCCGCGCTCGCCTCTGCCTCGTCGACTTTGTCTTATACCACTGTCCCTTCCTTTTTCCCTGGGGGGTCCTTTTGGTCCCTCCCCTGCCTTTTCCCGCTCAGAAAGCCGAATTTCGCAGATTCTCAGCTCCAAGGAGAAAATTTTGCCGGAAATTAAATCCTTCCTTCTGTTAGGCAGTAGTCGATTGATGGGAGGAGCTAAAAGTCACTTGGTGTCCTGACAAGATGTGTTACTCTTTTGCTAAGATCGTCATCTCTAATGCTTTGAGGGGGGTAACTTCTGCACACCTAGAACTTTCGGATTACTACCGAGCTTGAAGGTAAGACTCTCCTGGAGAATTTTTTTTTTTAAGCGCTTGTGATTAGACCGTTAAAGATTTTAATTTTATTATCATTATTATAACTCAGATTCGCTAAGAAAAATTCACTAGCGATATTTATAGATGTTTGAAAAGCAAGTTTTTTTTTTTAAGTGTGTATTTTATCGTTTAGTTAGCAGTCTGAGTGTTAGATGTTTTGTAAGCGCGTGCTGTGAATTGTACCTTAGAAGATAAGGAATTTGAGAAGATGGGTTACAGTAATTGCAACCAAGTGAAGAGTACGATTATAATTTTACTCTAAGGTCTTACATGAGACCAAGAAGTCAAAGGAACAGATGTAAAAATAAAAGTAGTCAAATGAGGAGATGACCAGTCAGGATATTTTGAGTCCCAAAAGGTGCCCTAAGCTGCCTGTAACTTTGTGGAAAACAATTAAAAGTAACTTTCCAGAATTACCAGTTCTCGTGACCTCATGAAGTTGGAATTCTTTATTTTGTTTTCACTTTTGAGGGGTAAAGGGGATTGGTTTTAATAATATTTTGGAGTCAAAATTTAATATTGGTTTATAGACTTTTTTTGAGGTGCATCAAATTTTTAAAGTAATGAAAACTATTCACTGTACTTTAATGCATAGCAGTGAAAGCAAGTGTAAGCTGTGTAGTGGAATTGACTGACAGTAGATGTCTTACTGAAAAGTGTGGACAGAGATTATGGGGCTGGAAATCATCTGCTACTGACTGGCTTTGTGACCTCAGTCAGGGTTTTCTTTATCTGTCTGAACTTCTGTTTCATTTATTAAGTGACTATATTTGATTACATGATTACTAAGATCCCTTCTGCGCCCTAAACTTCGGCTGTATTTAAGAAGCTTTTCAAAATCACACTGAAATCATTACAATTAAAATAACTTCTTAATTGTTTGCCCTCCAGATATGAGAGTGTCTCTTATATACATAATATAGTGCCTGTAAACTTGCACCATTTATACCCTTATCTCCCCTGCAGCAGTCTGGAAAATCTGACTTCTTAAGGGCCCAGCTAAAGTGGACTCTCACCTGAATTCGTTACTAATTGCACTATATTCTTTTATACACTCTTATCAAGGCAGACCCTAAATTTATAGAGCCTGAGCAAGAGTGTGGTTATGGAGGTTCACAGACCGTGTGTCTAAATATTTAAGTTATAAATCAAGATAACAAACTATTATTAAAAATATATTCTACTCTCCTACCTTGGCAAATCTACTTAAATAATGATCTGGAAAGCCAGGTTTAAATTTAGAATTCTTAGACTAATGGAGTCCTCAGACTGACGCTGTTCTCTTCCCATTCCCAACTTCTTCACCCACATCACCCAGCATGTCCAAGCTATGTCCACGTCTTGAACCCCCTGCAAGTAGTGATGTGTAATCAGCCACTCCATCTGCCCTCAGATCTAGCCACTCCGAAAGAGGATTGCAGGCTCAAGGGACAGACATGGCCCCTTGACCTCATGCACTCCTTGCCCTTTGCAGCAGGAGGAGGGTACTCACTCAGGTCTAAGGGCAGTACTGTTACAAAACATGCTCAATTATCTGTCTTTTCTCCCATGTAATCAGCCATTCCCTTACAACTAGGTCATTCCTAACAACATTGAACTAGGAGAGAATTCCCACTACTGTCACCAGTTCCTACTGGCTTAATCTCTACTACCACTAAAACCATCCACTTCTCTCCATGTCCATTGTTGGTACCCTATTCCAAGTACCACCCCTCTCACCTGGATGACAACAGTAGCCTTTTTTGTGGTCTTCTTATACTCCAGTTTTCTCCAGTCTGCCTACCATTCTACCCAGAATACACTTTTCAAAAGATAAATCTGATCTTGTCACTTTTCCTTGCTTCAGACCCATCAATGGCTTCCATTTCTCTTAGGATAAAGAACAAAATCCTTAACTGACCAACAAAACCCATCATGATCTAGCCCCTTCCTCTTCTATCTCAAAGTAAAAGGTCTTCAATTTCCAGAATGCACCATACTGTCTTACAATTTAGGGATATTATATATGTTGTTTCCTCTACCCGACTGCTTTTCTCTTTACCTGATGCTTATGTGATGATTTGGATGATGGGCATAAGGGAGGCAGATGTCATTAATACCTCCTACATTTCTAACCTGCGTGACTTGATGGACAGTGGGACCATTCACTGAGCTAGGAGACACTGGAAGAGTGACAAGTTTGGGATGCTCTTTGATCTTGGACCTGATGAACATGAGGTACCTATGAGACATCACATCCTTTGGATCTCAGCTCAAGCTAAGCCTCACTTCCTTGGAGAAGCCTTCTCTCCCTGTCAAGACTAGATTCCTAACTTGCTGGTTCCTTTTCTTCTTGTCCCCATTTCTTTTCACTTGTTGTTGTTGTTTACTCACTTATTATCTCTCCCACCTCTTTTCATTCCTCCTCTAGCTAACAGCTCTATTGAAAACATACTACCCTGTACCCTGGTTCTCCATCTTCTTGTCTGACACCTGGCTGCCCTCTGAGGACACAGACTGTACTTTTTTTTTCTCTCTCTCTCTCATATGCTATTTTAATTAATTTTTATTGGGGAGTTGGGGATTCTTAGGGTTATGTCATTGCTCTTTATCTGACTCTGAATACCTCTATGTGGTATTACGCATCACAGTGTCTTCTGATTTATTAGAAATGCTGTCAATTCCCAAGTCTTTCTCTCCTGCCTTGACCTTCTGCCCGATTCCTGACTCTTATCCAGATGCTAAATGTATGTTGCCGCTTTTGTAGCCACTTACACCTCAGATTTTATACCATCCATTCTCATCCTCCCATGTATCATTTTCCTGCATTTTTTATCCACCTTAACATTCAAGCTACAAGCCTGGGGCTCTTCTTTGACTTCTTTTTTTCTCTCACCCTCTGCGTTAGTCAGTCACTGTCTCTAGCCAGTTTCTCTTCCCCATTCCCACTGCTGCCTTTTGCCTTCAGGCCTCAAGCCTGCTTGGATTTTGTCAATGATCCCTTCCTAACTGTAAGTCTTCCATCTTCTAAACTATCCTCCATGCTGCTTCCAAAATTATATTTCTAAAATATTAACCTGATTATGCCTCAGTCTCTTCACTAATTCCCTTTGGCATATGGGATAAAAGTCACACTTTCCAGTGTAAATACAAGCCATTCTTTTTTTTTTTTTTTGCGGTACACGGGCCTCTCACTGTTGTGGCCTCTCCCATTGCGGAGCACAGGCTCCGGACGCGCAGGCTCAGCAGCCATGGCTCACGGGCCCAGCTGCTCCGCGGCATGTGGGATCTTCCCGGACCGGGGCACAAACCCGTGTCCCCTACATTGGCAGGCGGACTCTCAACCACTGCGCCACCAGGGGAGCCCAAGCCATTCTTGATATAACCCCAGCACTCCTTTCTCTATCACTCTCCTACAGCTTTCCTCTGTTTCATCTATTCTGAACTATGTGTAATTGCCAAAAGAGTGGCATTCTTTGTCGCTCTGTGCATTCTGCCTGTCATACCCCTCCAAGATTGGGTTCAAGCATCTCCCTAGTACTGTGCTTCCTGACCTGCCAAATCAGAGTTGATCATTCCTTTGTGCCATCATCATTCTGCCTAGGAGCATTGAACTCAGTGGTCTCTGCTTCTAGCCTGAGAGCCTCCTTAAGAGCAGGGATGATGCATTATTTATATTTGTATGCATAGTATCTGGGACATGGTTAGAAAACAAATGTTGAAAAGAAGTATATAAAGAGCAGTTTGTGATCTTTATGGTAAGATGAGGATCAGAGGTTACAATCAAATGGTCTTGATAGGTTAAAAAAATAATAAGACAGGTTGACTATAATATAATAGGGAGTGGTGAGGACTGTGGAAACTGGGAATTATATGCCTTATCTACAAGGTACATTGCTGATTGTTCCTATATGGAAATGAAGCAGGCCTACTTGCTAAATATCTAGATTTTTTTAATGTGAGGTTTCCTAAGAACCTGTGCAAGCCAGACAAAACATATCTGTGGGTCACGTAACCCAGTCTGACTTCTGATCTAGAAAAAAGTGACTTGACTTCGCATAAGGTAGCCTTTGAGAGTTTTGTTTGTTTGTTAACTCAGGGCCCTTCCTTTGTCAATTGCTAGAATAGACAGATACTAAGCAAATATATGTGAACTCGTAGCCACGATAAATGTGTGTTAGCAGTGTTTAGAGCTGTCCTCCTAGAATCTGGTTTTCTCTGTGTATAATGTCCTCCAGTATTCCTGAGCATAACTGATTTTTGCTCTGCAGTATACTATCCTCTGGCCTTGTCCCGGTTCCTGACACCCTGAGTTTTTTTTTGTTTGTTTTTGTTTTTTATTTATTTATGGCTGTGTCGGGTCTGCATTGCTGCACGCGGTCTTTCTCTAGTTGCGTTGAGCGGGGGCTACTCTTCCTTGCCGTGCGTGGGCTTCTCATTGCGGTGGCTTCTTTTGTTGCAGAGCATGGGCTCTAGGCGTGCAGACTTCAGTAGTTGCGGCACGCGGGCTCAGGAGTTGTGGCTTGCGGGCCCTAGAGCGTGGGCTCAGTAGTTGTGGCGCACGGGCTTAGTTACTCCGCAGCATGTGGGATCTTCCCGGACCAGGGCTTGAACCCGTGTCCCCTGCACTGGCAGGCGGATTCTTAACCACTGCACCACCAGGGAAGTCCCCCCTCTGCTTTATGAAACCCTGTATTAACCTTAAAGACATCCCTTCTACCCTTCTGGCATGGAAATCTCAAAGTCCTACCTCTATCACACTGACCTGCACACCTTTATGTGTCTTTCTTTTGTGAATCAACATTGACCAGTTATAAAGGGTGGTTCTATGCCTTAGGAAAGCCTGATCTTTTCAACTTTCATGTTGTCAGTTCTAATTTAGTCCACACTTAACAGGAGCCAGCAAACTTGTTCTGTAAAGAGCCAGATAGTAAATATTTTAGGCTTTGCAGACCACATGTCTCTCTAGCAACTACTGCTTG